AAGAGGAGTGTTGGGGGGGGGGGAGTAAGGGACGACTTTGGCTTTCCTTTCATGCCACAAAGCAGTGTAAAGAGCAGAAATCCAGTTTAAAACCATCCTTTGTAAACATTTTTTTTTTTTTTATGGGGGGAAAAAAAGGTTTGGCAACTGTAATGAGTGTTTATCAGCAACTGCAGTGAAAGTAAAATAAATAATCTTCTAAAATTTTATTGAGACAGTGGCAGTAACTAATAAAAGTGGGCTGGTCTGGCTGCTCTCTCAAAAGAAAATTCCTCTATCCCTAGGGAGATAGTTCAGTGCTGAACTATCTTGCTCCATCAGTACTAAAAGCCATTACATGGGAAAAGAATCAAACCTTCAGCAAATTACTGAACCTCATGTGTTTCTTGAAGCTTTTGAAACTGTCCGGGCTCTCTGGCAAAGAACATGGCATTGTTTTCAAGAAGCTGCCACTACTGAAACGATCCCTAGAAGGTATAATTTTAGTGGAATGTTGTTCCATCAAAAGGTATTATAAGATATTCAGACACAGCGCATACAATATTAAATAAAAGCATAACATTTATTTGAAATGGATTTCACGGATGAGAAATCAACACAGCTTCTGCTGAAGAAGAGCAGCATTGTGCGCGCCTGGTTCAGCTAGATGAGAATTAGATGTGGACAAAAGAAAAAAAAAAACAACCCTGGAAAGGGAGGGGATTTTTCACACGAATTCCTTAATTTCTTCCTGATTTTGTTGGGTCAAACTTAGAAAATGTCAATAAAAAAAATATCGTATGGTCTAATGCGTACACCTACCTCCCTCACTAATGGCTTTTAAATGCAGATATGCTTTTGGGATATGCTCAGAGGATGATCAGTGCCTTGGCTTTACATACAGCCAGTTAGGGGGGAAAAAAACAGAATTGCTGCCTTGAAAGTAATTCAGAAGCTGACATGTTTTCCAACAAAACTGGGGGACAAACAAATGACATTTTGCCCCAAAAAAGTACTCCAAGTAAAAATTATTTAAAATTGTTGATTCAGACCCATCAGAACAAAAATGTTGTATTTGGCACTGAAATTAATTTTCATTTGTTTGCTTGTTATTCCTGAACAGGATGTAGCTAAGTAACTTCCTAGAAACATGCCAGTCATGTTTCACACCCACTTTTCATCTGCCAAAAAGAATCCAGGTTGCAAGAGGGAAGGGCAAGAGGGAATCCAGGTTGCAAGAGGGAAGGATAAACCTGGGTTTCTCTCATTTGCAGAAAAATCAAGTTTGCTACTGCTCTTCAATTATGACCTGCAGTAATTCCTATTACTTTAAGTTTTAGTTTACTTTTCCCTCCTTCTACATACACTTATTGCCAACACTTCTCAACTCTTGGCTGCAGCATTTAATACTATTCCAGTCCTAAGACTTCTCTCAGGACATGCAGCTAATCATGCTATGTGTACGGTGTTTTTATTCAGTGGATAAATGCATATTAGAGGCTAGCACAAAACAAAGACTAAACTCACCTGTGACTTAGTATCCCAAGGCAAGAAGCAAGTACAATAACTCCAGTCACCTTTCATTTTGTTTTTATGTTCACATTTCACATCTAGTTTCCAAAAATTCTGTCCCTTCACCAGAAAGGTAATAATTGGCATTAGTCTGTAGAGGAAATATGTTAAAGAAAGCTGAACAGAAACTTGGCAAGCTCTCAGCATTTTAGTCACTAGTTCTGTAGCATTTGATATGTTTAATTTCTCCGCTCCTAGAGCCATCTGATTAAATGAGAACCATGACTTTCACTGAGAAAGGAAGGCCCACCATTTCTACCCCGTATGGTGGCAGAAAATTGAAAACACAAATATTAAGGTCTCAAACCCTAGGAGGCAAATAATCCAATTAAAAACCCTCGTAACACAAGCCACTCATGTATTGGAATATCTGAGGCTAGCAATACTATTACAGATTGTAGAACTCGGCATTTATAGTGGCAGACACTTGTGCATTTGCCAAGATCTACCTAGGTCAGGGGTAGGCAGCTTTTCACTAAGAGCGGACCAAATTAACACAGCCCAGTTCCAAAGCAAACCGGGTGTTGTTGGATAGCAGTAGCACATCCTCATGTAAAACTTACTAATAATGGTGGGATATATGAACTTCTGCGCTTGGTGGACAGGTTAAAATATCTTTGTAGGCTCAATCTGGCCTGTGGGTTATCAGTTGCCAATCCCTGACAAAGAATGGATTCTCTCTCAGTACTTCACCCAGTGTGGGAGTGCTAAGGATTATTCTATTTCGCCATTTTTCTAGAAACCTTATAATGACCTGCAATACTGAGAAAGATGATTAACTATTTAACTCATTTGATATATGTCTAGAATCTTCTGTCTCAGAGACAGCATTGATAAAATCAGAAATCTTTGATTCAAGACAATTTCATTACCAAGTAGACCCATACCAAAAATACTTGTACTGTTTCTATAGATGTAGCTGATCCAATTCCTCCCCCAAATTTAATTTGGTACAAGGAGGCATCCCACCACATTTGCTGTTGATCAAAGGTCATTCGGTGACTGGCCATGCTTTTTCCTTTCCCGGAGGAAAACAAAATCTGCACATGTGCACATATACAGATTAAAAAAAAAAAAAAGCTACTAGAGATATTACAAGCAGCAAGCACTGAAAAAGAGCAACAAAAACCTTGCACAGATACGTGGCCAGAGCATGAGAAGCCTGCACTGATAACAACGGTCTCATATAAAAACGTTAGATGCAATATACCTGAAAAGCAAAACCTGGATTTATCCCCCATTATGAAGCAAAGCTCCACACAACAGGCAAGATAAGTAAGACAGCAAGCATCACAAGCTCATCTGATATGTTGCCAGTCAATTTGCAGCACCATCATGCTCTGATGAACCTAGATTTATCTGAGAAAGGCAGTTACCCATAACCTAACACTGTCAGACTGGATGTAGTCACATCTCAGTGTTATAATACTCAAAGTTACCAGTTCGGGATTGTGCCTCTAGGGTCAAGTAGAAGGGAAAGATCGTGGAAGAAAATAATACAACTGCTGGTATGAAATTTCTTTTTTTTTTTTTTTTTTTTTTTTTAAGGTTACACTTCAAAGCCTGCATGGAACCAGACATGAGAATAAGGTATACAGCTGCTTTACTGTTAAGTGCCCCAAACTGTCAATGGGACTGAATCCAAATATATAGTGGTTCAGTTCTATAAATTGCTGTTAAATAGCATCAACTGATTGCAGCTGCCTTAAGGGGATTATAAACCCCTATAAATAACTTTCATAGACTGCTACAAATTTTGCTAACGATAGATATAGATATTTTCCATGAGGAAAACAACCCCAACCTTCTCTGCCATCTCTAGAGGAGGATTAAAGTCAACATGGTTTCTGTTTAGTTTTCTTCAGCTGTCTGTATGCTTACCAAACAGATAATGGATTGCTATGTTACAGCAGGGGGCGCTCACACATTGGTTTTACTGCACAATACAAGCTTTAATTTTTTTAAAATCAGTTTTATCAAGAGGACATTCAACAACTGACACTTCTAAGGCAACTTGTGTGCGCGAGGTGGTAGTGGCAAGGACTGGCACAAAGTTTGAAAGCATTCTTCTGAGTAACTGGAGCACAGGACTTAATTTTAATTACAACATGCGTCTAGAACCAGTACATTCAGTTCCACTAGCAAGGCCTTGGTGAGTAAATAAAGGCTTCCTGGAAAAAACAGTCACTCTAGACAAACTGCACTAAACAGCACAGCAGGTATGAAAGAAGAGGGGGACCAGGGAACTGCTCACAAGTTACTACTGCTCAAGAAGTTGCCAGCTTTGCAGCTAGACTGTGAACAAGGTCATCCATTAGAATGTAAAGTGGAGATTTTTTTAAAAAACTAAGGGGCTATTTTGCGCCCCCCCAATCAACTATTTGATCATGTTTTGAAAGCTTCAACCCTTTACTCCAAAGAGCTCACTGGTTTTAAATATCAGGATTGGCTTTGCTCATAACTAGTTGAGGTCTCATATGCTGTGGGCTCTTGGCACACCTGCACTGAAGGGGAGGCGTCTTCAGTCTTTAGACAAAGATGTTTTGCTGGACACTGGGAAACAAAGATTAAGTGGTAACTAGAACTCCCTGCCCCTTTGAGTGGCTGAGCCTTCAGTCCCATATATTAAGAGCCATTCTACTACTATTGTTGTTCAGAGACCCAGAGCAGACTAGTCTCCATTAAAACAAACAAAAGGCTTTCCAAATTCTTTATAACAAAGGCAAAGAAATGAAGCCGTGGCAGATCACCTCTTAAATATCTATACCATTATGCAGGGTGCCATGATATCAGAACCCTACTTTTTCCCATACACTTTCAGTTATCCTTGCATTCCTCCTCTCCACGTTCTGAGACAAGAGGTTCAACGAGACGGAGTATTTTGGACCTCCATGAAACAGTATCATTAATGTGACAAATAGGTTCATGCTGAATGGATGTGAACATACTAGGACAGATGGATTTTCGAGTTATACCATCACAAATCCCAGGCAGTTTAAAAAAAAAAACAGAACAAGAAAAATGAAAACGAAGTCACTGTCAAGTTTTCTGTTTTATTTAAGATTTTTAGTTTTAATTCTGAAGAAAGAGGTACATTTCCTTGTTTTTAGTTTTAGCGTCAGGTTATAACCATGTTTATTTATCTGTTTCTTTTTCCCGTCTTTTCAATACTGCACAAACGTCCAGAAACTACAGGGTTAAGTAAAAGCTGCAGGCAAAGGAGGTCAAAGGTTGTGCTCCTGATGGTGATCATGTGGACCCAATGCAGTGCTATCCCAGAGTGCCCTAATCAGGTGAATTTAAAAAAAAAGAAAGAGAGACTGACAGAGGAGACAGAAAGACTGAAGTAAATATCACTCGTGTTTCAGCTGCTTATAATTATATTATGTATACACTAGGTATTAAATCTGTGAATACTTTTAAAACATTAAAGTTTACTTTAAATCTAAAGCCAAAATTTAAAAAGAAATCTTATTTTTCCCCTCTTTAAACCACTCTTTAGCAACATGCCAGTTACTTCTACAAGTTTTGTCCTTCAACACACTTTATGTCAAACCTTTTACTGACTGACACAATAAAGTCCCCCTTTCCAACAAAAAAAAATACATAGCAATTTCCCTGTGTAGTGACACACTGAATGCAAAATAAATGCTAGGCCTCTGCTTGCCCCACATGTTCAGTAATTTCATTTAAATTAAATAACTTGCTTTATGTTTCTGCAATTGATTCTGCAGTTTACATTACATTTTTCCCCTACTGTAGATTGACATTTCCACTAGGCAGAAATACACATGTGCAAAAAAAGACATAAGACAGTAATATTCTCTTTAAGCATTGAGACTGCATTTTAATTTCTCTCTCTCTTTTTTCTTAGAATGTTTAAGGAAACTTTAAATCAGTGTAATTTCAAACACTGGCTCAGCAGAAACGTAACAAAAAAAAGATACGGTCATGACCCTGTGATCGCATTGCATTTGGAGGCGGGGGGGAGGTTTGATCAGGAACTGGATTCTTCAGAAAGAAAGATATGAGGGGGAGCGGCAGGTAGGTGTGGGAAGGAGTCAGGGTGGGGCAATTCCTGCATTTCTAACGTTTTTTTCCACCTTTCCTAATGACGATCCAGTGCTGAGCTCTGTAGTAGATCTGTGGGGGCTTTACTGGGGGGTCTGAAGGCTGTCTGAAAGCCTGGAGGGGGGGAATGAAAACTGGTGGGGTTTGAAGGAGGAGAGTAGGGATTCCAACTGGCTCTGTGAAGAGGGATCTGTGCACTGAAGGGGTTACTGTGGTGCGTCTGTGATGGGGCTGCACTGGGGCCGTCCATCTCTGTGAGCGCCTGAAGAGATTTTAGCCAATGGGGTGGATTGTCATCTTGAAGAGTGTCTAAACTGTTTCCTGTGGAGGCTGGGATACCTATGAAAAGAAGAAAAAAAATGGGAAACAGGCAAATCAGATCAAAAGCAACAGGCTGAGTATAAAGGAAGTCATTTAACCTACGGCAGTGGTGAAAAAGTTTAGTTTGCACAAAAAAGTATTTTATACAGTTTATACACACATATTTCACTTCTCCCACAAAACATTTAAACTCTTATTCAGCATTTCTCTCCTAAGAGCATTTTTCTTCATTAAGTACAGGTTCTCTTATACATTTGCCAAGCCACCTAATCACAAGGATTGAGTCCCTGCTTTTGTTCAACTTCAGCAAACCCAGCTCTGCCAGCACACTGCATGCTTGCTGTTCTCCCTTCTTGAATCATGCTTCCCACTCTCTAAACCGGGATGTGCAAACAGACAGCCTTATAAGAGAGAGCTTTATAAACAAGTGGAGTATGTCCCTTTTTAAATAAAATACATACATAAAAACAGTTAATGCCTTCAGCACCTCAGGAGCAGCAGTGCACATACCAGACATACCATCTAGCAGAGGGGATACCTACATGGCCCTATGGAAATGCATTGAGCACCCTGACTGCTTGTAAAGGTCCTGGGCATGCACTGGAAGGGCTATGTGATGGTTTATTATACCTATTTGTTCCACAGGAATTCCTGACCCCGTGGATGTTTTGTGGATGGAAGCTGGAAGAGACCACCGCATACTGTACTGTAGTTTGTGCCAAATACCCACTTGATGGTTGCCAGTGGAGCTGAAGGAGTGAGAAACGGTTACCTGTGATGATTGCGGGGTCCATCCAGCTGCCAGGGTTGTCCCAATTCAGGCTGTCGGTGGTGGCAGTGTTGGACGTTGGTACACTGTGGTTGGCGTTGGAGGGGGAAGAAGCATTGGGCAGTCCACCAAAGTTGATGTTAATGTTCGGTAGAAGTGCCCTTAGCCCGTCCTGCCATTCCTTCATATTTAAACTCTCTACAGAACTGCTGTTGTCTGGGAGATTTACCAACAAAAAAAATGAAAGATAAAAAAATAAAAAGCTGAAGTTAGAAACAGATGTCCTCCTTTGGTGGGGAAGGGGATTGTTTACTATTAAGCATTTTAATAGTTTCCCTATCCAAAAAAATGAGGGTAGCTGTTTAATCAGGGGCTCGCATGTTTGTTTTACATTGTATGCGAGAGTGTGGGCTAAAAAGATTTCACTTCTCCACCATTTACATTTCACCATTTGCTCAATTTAGAGAACCAATTAGTTATAAACATTGCAGTTCTCCTTCAGGCCTAGTGGGAGAAGACTCACTAGATCCTTTAGCAAGAGACCCTTGTACAAGTCCAAGCTACCAGGTTCATCTGTTTTAACAATGGTCAAAATCTACAGGTGACCGAATTGTCTTTGGAATATATTAAATTGAAAAGTGAGGTGAGGCTCTGCCATAGAAGCCCAACTTTTATAACTAAAAAAAATTGCAAAAGGGTTTCACTGGGGTTCAGCTCACTCATTCACAGCACTACAGATGCTTTTCAGAAGGAAAAGGCCGTAATGTACTAACAAAGGTAGAAAGAATATATTTTCCTCCTGCAGCCAGAAGGTAAGAGGAAATTCCTAAAAGACCTTTCAGAATAACTCCCAGCACAGCAATCAACTCTTACTGAAGCAAGACATCAAACTGTTAAGGCTAAACTAGTTAGCTCTGACAGTGTCAGCACATATATTTCCAGAGAAAGATAAACAGGATACACTTGCTATAGAGGATTACATTTAAATGATTCCTGGAACACTTCTACAGAAACAGCAAGGGTTAAGATCATGCCAACCAGAACAGACTTTAGTTTATACCATAAATCTGTTCCAGGTATCCCAAAGCACTTCACAAGAAGCCAAATACTGGCAGCTCAGTGATTGTCAGCATTCAAAAAGCAACATTTACCAATAAGTTTGTCAGCTAAGAACCTGTTTCCTATTTAACAAGGAATAATGTCCAAACATGTGCACACGTATGCATGTGTGAACAGGAAGTAATGGCCACAAATGCGTATGCTTGGGTGCATGTGTAGAAGAAAGATTCCATGACCCTCTTGATATATATATTAACATACATTTAATATACATTCTGTGACCCTCTATTTTATAGATATATCTATTTATAATCTATATCTACAGACAAACACATGCACACTTTTTATGTGTATATACCATATTCACTTGAATACAAGATGCCCCCCTTGTCTTTATTTGCATACAAAGAAACCACATTAAATACTCTGTCCATCATTAAACTGCTGCAAAAAGCAGCATGTGCTCAGTAATGGAAACTATTTATGAAACTGATTAAATGCAGGCAACACTCAGCATAACTATGAAGTACATAGCCCATATTGGGCAAAGATACTGACGGGAACCTACTGCAAGAACAGGTTAGTATAGCCCATCTGAATAAGGTATGTGGTAGTGCCATTGTGCCCAGTCCCCCTCAGTGTCGACTCTTTTGAAGTCATGGTGAGCCATTACACTGAATACATTTCGGCTTCCTCTTCACTTCCACAGCTAAGCTGTGCTTTTCTTATTTCCAATGATGCTCATTTCTTCACCAGCCTTAAATGTCTGGCAAACATCACAAAACAGGGTCCCAAACAGAAACCCTGTCACCCCCTCTCTCAGCCTGTCAAATATGATTAGTGTTACTTTGACCTCCGTGAGGTAAAGCCAAACCAAGCGGGCCTATGCCTCATCTAAATATACATTTTTTGGAGGATCCCAGGACTCATGACAAGGTTCCAGTGATGTGGGGGGCTAATTAGCACACAGATCCTTTGTGGGGAGAGGGGAAGGGAGGGGTATCTGGAATACATACACATACTGAGCAGTGCCGAGCTACAGGGTCACCAAGGCTTGAAATGCTGTCCCACTATGCTGGGGCCCAGCCCAACAAAGTATATGGTAAATCATAAGCTTTTTTGGCTTTGGACCAATATCATGCATGGTCTATACTATATACAACTCAGCATCTTGTGGGCTAAGGTCAAGGTCTGTTGCCCAGACTGAGATGGATTTAAACGGCATTGTGTAGTGGAGGGTAAACCCCTGTCCAATGCACTGTGGACAGAACACCCTACCAGTCATGTAATTAGCTTCCCAGTGGGAGAACTGCAGCTACACGCCTACTTTATGGAAGTGGGGGACTCCTCCTTAACTTGCTCCTGTGGCCATTGGCTAAGGTCAAGTGAGACTTAGGGGCATCCAAACCCCAAGCCTCCAGGCTTGGGCCTGCATGTAGGATGCCCACCAATGGATTTGGGTATATGTGAAGGCCCAGGCTAAAAAGTCTGGGGTGGAGGATACTTGCCAGCTGTATTGCCACATGTGTGTCTGAAGGACTGAATTTTGCTCCATCAAAAGGATTCAGAACTGATTTGGCTAATTTGACCTGCAATATGAAAAATTAAAAAAAAAAAAAATATACAAGTAGATACAAAAGTGCTGCTTAAAAGTATGTTTATGGAGTAGCTGTATTAAAACCTGCAGCAGCTTGAAAAAATGTAAAATGCATCAATTCTGGATTAACTAAATCTATGGATAGCCATGGTAATCTGTCTATATGCAAATTACTACAGGCATGTTTATTTCAAAGTGTTTTCAGATTTGCTGCTTGCTTCCCTGTGCTCAAGGAGAGCAGGATCTGACAGTTAGGTTGGGGGGGGGGGGGGGGGGGGGGGGGGGGGGGGGCCCAAAAAAAAAAAAAAAAAAAAAAAAGGCGGAGGGCAAGGGGGCTACCTGACCCCCCAGATTTATTTTCCCTTCTACAGCAGTGGGAAGGGAACAAATTTAAGGCAAACCTCCAAAACTTAGTTTCCATACCTGGGAAACGATAACCAATGTATAAGTTTTCCATAAGTAGGCTCTAATTATTGGGGGAAGGGTCATCGTATATTCAGGGTTGTGCTATATTCAAGTAAATATGCTGTGAGCATCTATTTATCCATCCATCCATCCAGTTTGCACATACATGTGCACCTGCAATTTAAACGAGGGTCACGGAATCTCTTCTCTTTTGGACAGCCAGAGCCAGTCTAAAAAGGCTATTTGATGCCACCTCTGAAGAGCAGCATTGAAAATTCAAGTGAAATACTTGCAGGGCACTACCATACCATCAGTCCTGAATGAAATAAAGCACTAGTGAGAAGCTTCAACTACAATCAATTGCACAATGTAGTAGTACCTAATGTGCAGTTCCTCAGCAAGCTGAAGAATAGAAAAGGCATGTTCACCTCCAACCATTCTTTAGTGTCTGGATCACTGTGAAATGTTTACATTTGTTACTCTGCCCTGTTACAACAGCACCTTTTTTCTCCATAGCTAAAGTTCTCAAAACCAAGTTCCACATACATTTCCACATACTTCTGTACAGCTACTCTTCGCTTAACACTGCAGTTACATTCTTGAAAAATGAAACGATGTTAAGCGAATCCAATTATGTCACAGTAGTTACCTACTAGCAGGTGGCGGCCAAACAACGTTATAACCGAACATTGTGCAACTTTAAACAAGCATGTCCTCTAATAGATCAGCGATGTAATAACCAAGCAATGTTAACCTGGATGACGTTAAGTGAGGAGTACCTGTACGTATGTTTCACACTTCCGCGTACACTTTTGTATGGATGAGTGACAAAAGACTGCATAACTGCTATTTGCAAATCTGTGAGCCAAACCTGAAGCCATACCAGTAACGGTAACACAAATTACTGGATTCAACCACTATATCGAATGCAACAGAACGACAGGGTTTTTCTGACCTTATGAGAGTCAAAAAAGGGTCACAGCCTTTTCAAGTAATCACTATACGCACATACATCACAACCATGTATAGTACCATTATACTAAAATATTGTATGAAGCACCTGGACACAAAGGCATCAAAGCAAAAACCACGATCTTTGACCCACAGGGTAGGAGGGGCTACAATCAAATGATGGGCCAGGAATGGTCAAACTTCCTATTTAAATTAAAATCCTAATGTGGCTGAGAGCCTCAAATTTTCAAGATGCATGCCCCAAAGTCAGCAAACTGTGCATAGTATCTCAACTCAAATAATTTGCCATTAAAAGGTTTCTTAGAATAACAAATAGTGAAGAAAATAGAAAAAAGTGAGCAGAGAAGAAAAAAAAACTACTATTATTTAACTACTTCTCTTTCTTCTTTGTTGAATTTTAAGCCTTGCAATTATCTGATGTTACCATGGCATACTGAGGCAAGAGTTACTCCTGCTTCACAAGTTAGCAGGTAATGCACTCCCAGGAGTAGGGAAGCAATACCAGCTCTCAAGTCTTAGCTAGTGAGCAATGGCAAGAAACAGATGGGTCAACGAATCAAACAGCAGAAGTTAATCTCAAAGCCTGTTTAAAATTTGAACCACTTTGTTCTTAAGTGCTACAGCAAAAATGGACAAGATCATTTCTCTGAAAGGAATAGCAGCTTTTTATGACAAACTTAAGTGCAACTTGGTTTCAACTCTAACTCACAGGAATGTGAAACAGCCATTGAACACTGTGACTTCAATCTTACTATGTTTAGCAGCAAAGTGACTAGGTGTATGCTAGAAGAAGGGAACTGGCAAGTTTTTACCAATCTGTCCCTTAGCATAAAACCGTAAGGCATACAACCTGCTCTTACTGATGTGTGCTTTCATCACTGCCACTCTAAATCAAATCTAGCCATGCTATCTCAAATCAGATTCTATTCCCTATAATGCTAACCCACAATTAAGGGTTTTGAAAGACCTGATATATATTTCAAACTTTCTGCTCAGCCAACAGATGGGAAAACCAAGTTATAAGTTTTCTCAAAATCACCTGCAGTCAAAGTTAAATGTCATTTGAGGGGGCCCTGGCCACATGTCTAATTGCAAAGGCAGGTCCACTGAGAACTAACAGTTTCCTGGTTCTTATTAGTCGCTGTGCATGGCAGCCAGCTTCCACAGGGCAATAGCTACTCTT